TTTCCTTCCCCATTCCTGCGCACAAGCGTGCAAGCGCATCGGGCGAACGCGGTGTCAGCAGGCACCAGGGATACCACAAAAATGAGCCAGTCGCCCGCCCAGGCCTCGAGGTCCCCCCGGCTGAAGCAAGCGACGATATATTTCTTTGCCAGGCTCAGTGCGCCCTGGCGACAGGGCAGGCGTGACGGCGGGGAGCCTGGCTCGGCCCGCCGTTGTTGGAGAGGCTCCAAGGAACTCGCAGAGCAAGTTCCCCTCCACGTCCCCCTTTTTCCGCGTTCGGGGACATGCGGCGCGGGCTCCCCTCCGAGCTCTCCTCCCAGAACTCGTGCGCGGCGTCGCTTATCGGAAAGCATACACATATACAAGCAAGCATACATACATGCATACATACCTACATGTATACAAATATGTACATATAGACAGGTGTATATATATATGGAATTGCAAATGTAAAAATTAATGTATAAGCAATTAGCCTGGCGAAGAGCCCAACAAGATGCACTTGTGAACACCGTAATTATGAATATCAGATTCGCCCACGTTCTTTATGGGGCCACGAACCGCGCGCGGGGCGCGGCGCGGCACACAACGCGAGCAAAGACGATAGGTCTGTGTACGAGAGACTGAGAGCGAGTGAGTCTGATTACGGATGAGCCTGCGCGCGCGTGAGTCTACGTGCAATAATGTCGACGCCCATGTCGGCACGGCTCTCACGAGGATCCCGCCCGCTTCCTTCCCGTTTTTACTCTCCCTCTTTGCCCGCGCACGCCCACGTCCAAGGCTGCGGGCGCGGCGCCGCGCGGAGTCCCCGCGACGCGCGCTGGTCGCCCCGAAAGTGTCCTGGCGACGCTCGTGGGTCGTCCGCTGCGCGGAGCAGAGAGCGAGCAGGCTGGCTCCCACCCGGGATGCGCGGCCCGAAAGCGGCCTCGACATGTCGAATACGACGAAAAACCTCCGAAAATCGAAGGTCGCCGCCACGCGAACTCCGCCACTGGGCCGCCATGCGAGTTCTGCCTCGGAGACCTTAGGTAGAGCTCCCGGTGGGGACACGAAACGCTGCACTGGGTGGTGGCTGACGCATGCGGGCGGTGCCACTGGGAGCTTCGCTGGAGCTCCCTACGGGGACGCGAGGCGCTGTGCTGGGCGGTGGCTGACACACGCTGGCGGTGATCCCAGAGCTGCCGGAAACAGTCCTCCTGCACCAATTGCCCCACAAAAAGAACCGATGGGTAATCCGTCTTTGCCAGCGCCGAGCTCGATAGTCCGATGCGCGGCAGTGTTAGCTGGATGTGCTCGTTGACGACTCGGTCACCGCTGGCTGTTTCGAGGATGCGTTCCCGCCCTTGTCGTACTCGAAGGGCCTCGCGCGGTTGAAGTCGGACATGTCTTGCATGTGATGGGCAGAGCCGCCATCCATGATCCACGTCCGTGACAGCGCCGCCATGAACCGCGGGGCCGTCGGTGCAGGCGCTGCCACCGACGCACTGATATGAGTCGGAGACAGTTCTGACACCGTAGTCGGTCTGGAGGGCCGCGTGAGCTCGTCGCGCAAGCGTCGGGCCCCTCTCTGCGCGGCACGCAGCGCACGTGCATTAGCCTTCAACCACCAGTCTGGTAGACCGCCCGGCACATCGACCATGTCTCCCCGACAATATGAAGACTTATTCGATGTGTACATTTTACGCTTCACTGCGTAGGTGGTGGCGTCCAAATTGTCGAGGTCGTAGAGGATATTCCGCTGTGCCGGGTCGGACAGAAGTAGGAGCCGCCCACGGGTCACACGGGCGCGATCACGGCGTCGATCGCACCGACTTGCCGCGAGAGACCAGGCACGATCACGAGTGGATGGTGATCGGCTGTTGCGACGGGATGTAGAACGGCTGCCAGTCCGATCACTTCTGGTAGGCGAGCGCCCACGGCAGCGTTCCCGATTGGAGCGCCGCGACGAGGCACGGGAGCGCGGCGGGGAGCGGGGCGGCCAACCGCGACCCCACGGACCACGCGAATCGGAGCGCCCCCCACGTCCTGGAGACGGCGAGCCCCGTCGCGACCAACGCGCACCCCCCCAGACTAAAGGAGCGGCGCCGGCCCTTGTAGGGCAAAGGCTTCTGGCCCCCCGCACGTCGCGGGGAGGGCGCCCCCTTGCGGCTGTCTAGGTTGGAGGGCCGAACAGGACTCCGATCTGGAGTCTTAGCGCCAACGTCAATGCGCGCATTGCGGCAGCTGGTTCCACGCCTGCACGTCAACTTCGAATCCGCATAGAAGGTGAATTTCGGGATGCATGAATATTTGCAACGATCTCGGAGTGGGCAGGATCCGCGCTTAGCGAGAGCAAAGCAAAAGTTCTGCCTGGGCTTCTCCTTCGCAGGTGGGCCGGGGGAGCGGCCAGTGGAAGGTCGTCTGTCACGGGCGTCTCTGCCATGGGTAGAGGATCGTTGCGGCGGTCGTGGCGTGGGACGGCTGCTAGAAACAGCGCGCAGCATTTTGCACCGTTCACCTTCTTGCGCCGTCCAGACATAAACGCTGCACAAATCACAGAGTCGCGTCGGCTCGATTCGTTCTTGAGGTTGTGCTGGTTGCGCTCAAGTCGGCGTAATTCTAGGTTTGCGAGAACACGTTTTCGAAGCCCCTCGTATGTTTTGTGAGGGTCGTCGTAAGCCATCTTGTTGTAGTCGTGCAAATCCTGCTTCATCAGGTAGCGTCGTCCTATCTGAGCTCTGAATAACGACGCGTATACACGCGTCGGGTGGTTCGCGGCACTCCAACAATAGATTGTCCAAATCCACGATAAACATTTGGAGGTCGTCGCCCCGCATGCGCATCCGTTGTACACGTTCAAGGTCGTGCATTGCGTCGTCGACTGCAGTGACTTTGTAGGGTTGTAGCATCGCCCAGTAGATGCATATACCCTTCAGCATACGGCCAGTTTTGTGTTCCTGAGCCGCGAAGCACAATGTTGACGACGGCGGTCAGTCCAGCTGCAAGTTTGCTGTCGATACTCTCGAAGTCGCCGCTGTCCTGGAGGTCCTCGTAGGTTGCAGCGGGTCGTTCTGCAGCGCACAGGAATGCGCCGGCTTAGGCAGGGCGCACAGAAGCGCCGCCAAAGTTGTTGCGGACCATATGTCGCCACTCTTTTAGTTGTGTACTGCGTGGCAGTTGTGAGGTGCGTACGGCGTCAGATTCCTCGATTGGAGTTGCACTGGTAAGTGAGACGCGCGATAATGCATGCGATGGAACCGGTCGGGTAGGTGAAGGGGGAAACGCGACGCGTCTGCGTAGAAGCCGCTGCAGAGGCGGCACCTGGCGAGGTACGTCGCGCAGGGCCTGCGCGGATGTCACCATCGGCGCGCGCGAAGACCTGGTCTCGTCGATGGTCAGGAGGTGGATGGTGGATTTAGCACCTCGGCCATTCGGGCTTCGAGGGAGGCGAAATCGCAAACCGAAGTTGGGGTGCCTAGATGATCAGTCTGGGCCCGTACACCGCGCAACTCACCCAGTGCAGCCCTTATGTCGGGCAACTGCTGCTCGACCGTGAAGACTCGGTTCTCAAGCGTTGGCGCGCGCCCCTCGGTAGCGCCAAGACGCTGAGCGAGGGCCATCTCGGCACCACGCAGCTTGCCGCCCAACACAGACGTGAGCGCGACATGGTGGGAGCGCAGCGTGGCAGCGGTCATCTCGACCTGGACGCGAACTGCGTTAGTGCCCCCGTGTAGCTGTGGATCCGTGGGCCCACGCACCTCCACGGGTCGGATCTGTCGGGCCATCGGGAGCTCATCGTGCAACGTCCTGGCGGCGGCAGCCCCGCTGTCTAACGCTCGCAACTTGGGCTCCCATCTGGAGGGGTAGTCGTGAGGCGTCTGGGTCGCGCTGGAGTCGGCACCTCGGCGTGACTCCATCTGGTCAGCTTGGAACTGGACCTGAGCGATGGTCGATCGATCTTCGGCGATCCGAGCGTCGTCCAAAGAAAGAGCGAGCTGCGTCGAAGCTCTTGTCTGAGGGTGGCCGTCTGCGCGGCCAGACCCGACAACAGTTGGGCCGCGTAAGCTTCGACCTGGCCTCGAAGCTCCGCCACGTCACTGGCGGCGGGAGGGGCGCGACGCGATGTCGCGCTGCTGAGAGCCACGCCGAGAGCGTCTCTGTGAGGGGCTGCGGCTGGCAGCCAAAATAAGAGGGAATGCGCTGCCGTCCTGGAACCCTGCGTTGAGATGTCCGCCCAGTACGGTTCTCTATGACACGCACATGCTCAGAGACAGACACGTTAGTGGGCGACGTGACCTTAGCCCAGCGGCGGCTGCGCGCGGAAGATGTCTGGAGGCACGGTCGCAGCACCACCGCTGCGGGCGCTGCCACCGACGCCACCCGTAACAGCGAAGGTAGGAGGAGAGGAGGCAGGTGCAGCGAATCCAGCCGCGGCTCCGAGGACTGATTGGGCAACTGCAAGTGTTCCCACTGGCGCACGCGACACGGACGTATCAGGCGCCGCGGGAGGCGAATCCATCCGCGGTCGCGAGGTCCTCGGCGCGCGAGCGCGGGCGGGCGGCGGCGGCAGCGGGGAATCAGGTAGTAGTTCTCCCAGTGCTGCCGCTAGTGCAGCGGTACTGCCTTCCCCTGAAAGGGGGGGAGCGGGCATCACAAATTCTCTCGCCCTCTCCATGAAGCCGTCGCGAACGCGCGCCGTCGAGGACACCGCGCGCATACAGGCACTGCGCCCCAAGGGGGCAGCGCCAAGCGGCGGAGTCCCCGATGACGCGAGTCGCAACAGCGAAGGGCGTGAAAGAAAAGGCTGGTTACCTGTGTGTATAGGGAGACGACCGAGGGGTCGATACTATACAGGGGTCCGTAGGTAGAGGCCAGAAGGAAGAGGTTAGCTACTTCTTTTCCTGGGCGCCGCGCGGAGGGCAGCGCACGGTCTGTGTTTATGCCAATACCTGAGCCGATACAGCTGCGGTATGTAATGATATAATGGGGATTTGAGCGGACTTCACACACACGGCGCCGACGATGCACCCAGGGAGGCCGAGGGCAGCGCGCCAGAAGTACCAGAGGTCGTCGCCCAACGCGTCCTCGTCGCTCACAGTCCACGCCCCATCGGGCCCCACGGCAGCCGCAGCCAGCACCTCAGGGGCTCCCGGGACCCCGTCGGGCGGGCCCGCGGGCGGCGCCAGGGCCGCCTTGCGGGCGTCCGTCCGCACTGCGCTGAGCGCACCTCTGCCGGAAGCGGCCGTTACGACCGGGTGCAGCAGCGCCATCGCAAGTGGCAAAGCGGCCAAAGAGGGCCACCCTGGTAGCACAGCGCCGCGATCGCCTCCTGGAGCCGACCTGTCCCGAAGCGGAAGCCGTGGTCTGCGCATCCTCGCGCAGGCACAGCGTCAAGTTCCAGCAGTGTGCGCTCAGACTCACGCTGTTCGCCAGCGAAGATCAAGCGCTGCTGGTGAACCGGGATGCGTTCCATCTTGTGGATCATAGCCATCACGCTGAAGATCGTGTCGCTAGCGTTCACGGGAAGCGTGATAGGCTTGCCCTTTAGTGTCTTCACCAAGATCTACACGGGGCCTGCCCTCCAGCGGCTGCGCCTCCCCGTCCTTCTGTTCGATGTCCTCGCGCCCTGTGCGCCTCCCATCGCCCCCAGCGTGCGCACTCCCTATGCACATGCCCAGGGCGTCGGCGCGAGAGCGCAGACCTCTTGGTGACAGAGCCCTCAGCGCGGCCCCCCGCGCGGCACGGCCCCAGCACGGCCCCGGCGGGAGCTTGTCGCGGAGCCCTTGAGCCCCTTGAGCCAGCACTTGAGCCCCTTGAGCCAGCCGACCGGGAGCCCCTTGAGCCCCTTGAGCCCCTTGAGCCCCTTAAGCCATCATCATCATCATCATCATCATCATCATCATCAGCATCATCATCATCAGCATCATCATCATCAGCAGCAGCAGCAGCAGCAGCAGCAGCAGCAGCATCATCATCATCATCATCATCATCATCATCATCATATCATCATCATCATCATCATTCTTCATCATCATCATCAATCATCATCATCATCAGCAGCAGCAGCATCATCAGCATCATCAGCATCATCATCATCAGCATCAGCATCATCATCATCATCATCAGCATCATCATCATCATCATCATCATCATCATCATCATCATCATCCATCATCATCAGTAGCATCATCATCATCCATCATCAGTAGCATCATCATCACCATCCACCACCATCATCATCATCACCATCATCACCATCATCATCAGCCCGTTGAGCCCTCGTCGTCGTCATCATCATCATCAACATCACCACCATCATCATCATCATCATCATCATCATCATCATCATCATCATCATCATCATCATCATCATCATCATTAGTATCATCATCATCATCAGCATCATCATCATCATCATCATCATCAGTATCCTCATAATCATCATCAACACCATCATCATCAGCATCATCAGAATCATCATCATCACCATCATCATCATCAGAAGCAGCATCGGCATCACAACATCATCAGCATCATCAAAATCATCAGCGTGATTATCATCAGCAGCATCATCAGCATCGTCGTCATCATCAGCATCATCAGCATCTTATCATCATCAGCAGCATCATCAGCATCGTCATAATCATCATGATCATCATCAGCGTAATCATCATGATCATCATCATCATCATCATCATCATCATCGCCATCATCAGAATCAACATCATCATCATCAGCATCATCAGCATCATCAGCATCGTCATCAGTATCAGCATCAGCATCAGCATCATCAGCACCATCGGCAACAGCATCAGCATCAGCATCAACTCCATCATCAGCATCATCATCGTCAGCATCGTCAACATCACCACCACCACCACAACCATCTTCATCAGCATCATCAGAATCATCATCGTCAGCATTATCGTTATCATCAGGCTGTCAATATGTGGGTGAGTGTAGAGAGATGCGAGCGTCGCAAGTGCCAGGTAGAGTCCTTCTGCTCCTCCTCCTCCTCCTCGTCCTCCCTCTCCTCCTCATCCTCCTCCTGCTCCTCCTCCTCCTCCTCATCATCAGCATCAGCATCATCATCATCATCATCATCATCATCATCATCATCATCATCAGCATCATCGTCATCGTCATCATCATCGTCGTCATCATCATCAGCGGCAGTCTCAGCATCATCATCAGCAGCATCATCAGCATCATCAGCATAGTCAGCATCATC